GGGCGGGTGGTTATTGACTTCAATAAGGAGTAGAGAGGGAGATGTACGAAAAGATGAGATGGCATGTAGGAGATACCACGAACTATACTCACGATTCCCAAGCACACCTTGGCCTTCATCTTCGACTGTCTCGATGCGGTAAGTGAGATGAATCCATGCCGAAGTCGAATCCCGGCTTCGCTGTTAGGTCTCAAGGATTGAGGCAACTATGGCGGCCGAACCTATACTGACAAGTTATCGATGCTTTGGAGATCGTTCAAAGCGGCATTTCGGGATTCTGGTCGGACTGCGTGCACTGTATAGCTCATTTGGAAACCATAGTCATGCCCGGCAACGACTTAATTCCTGAATCCTTACAGTATGCTGAGCGAGACCGGGAGTGGGGTCATCCACTTGATATAATTCGATGTGCCACTGTTGTGTTGTAACTGTTGTGTTGATGTTGAGGTTGATGTTCTTTCTGTCGTGACTTCGCGACTTGCGGCACGTGCACACCTTGGCGGTCGACCTCGATCTCACTTCCCTGCTCGCCATTGAAGTAACACGCACCCCTTCCACGCGACAACACTGGCAACTGCAAACAGACAGCTACTGTCCATGCGATCCTGAACACCGCCCCTACTGGCAAACCTCGCACCACCTGCATTGTGGATTCAGACGGCTCCTCGGTCCATACCACACCCTCTTTACGCGGCAGCACCCACGACGCCGTCCCAGGCAAGACCGACGTCGACGCGCACTTCCAGCTCGAAGCGCCCACCGGCGCACAATCCTCAGCTTCGGCCGAGTCTCCACCGCCCTTCTCTTCCCACAACTTTCCATCGCGCTACTTTCCCGCGCCCTCGCCTGTCGACCCATACCGCGCGCTTGTAACAGATTGCGGCACTGCTGGGTCTCTCACTGCGACTGCGCCGAGCGGACCAGCTCCACCATTCGAAGAGCGCGCTCCAACACCGTCTTCGGTTGTTGCTGAGACCAAGGCGGCGCTTCCACGGGACACAAAGGAGAGCAAGGACTTAGACGACGGAGAGCCCCCGCCTCCATACACAGAAGGCTCTAGCCCGCTCGACGGCTTCACGTACGTCATGTCGGCAGCAGGAGGTGCCGCGAGCATCCTCACGCAGGTGCAGCAGGGTGGCCCGGCTCCGCTGAACACGGCTGGCTTAGGACAAGGTGAGTCGGGATATGCCCATTTGCTGGTGATCATATTAATAATTAGCAGGCGGATCCGATGAGAACATCACGATGGAGTTGCGGTAGGCGTTCATACCACAGTATCGTCCGATCTCTACTGATTCTTGCAGTGGCACGCGCTTCACACTCTCACGAGATGAGCTGTTGACGATGCCGGAGTTCGTACTGCTTTCACTGTTCCCGAATGGCCTCCTACCTGAAGGACACATGAACAGCTACCACGACGGCGATTCATACCCAGTCGACGTAAGCAACACCCGGCGACCTCGCCTCGTCACCCAAGTGTCGCAGACCCCCACTGTGTCTATTCAGGACATCCATCGCTTCCTATCCAACCAAGATGTATACTTATCTGACCGTCTCTACTACTCACAGTACGACCCAACGTCACTCACGTACATGCTCGACTTCTTCCGGCAAGTGGCACAGACCATCCCTCAAGAATCCGAGGACAGTGCCAAACAATCCACCCAAGAACCAGTGGGAGCCAACACGATGCCAATTGAGCCAATGCCCGGCAATGCACGCGATATGTTGCAGGACCGCGCCGGAATAATAGTCTTGCGAGAGGACCTGGACTTCTACTGCATTCCACCGCGCAGAGACATTGAGCAAACCGAGATGATCGAAATCAAGCGAGCCGCAGGTAAGGCTCTGCTGCGACAAGACGGCATCTTCTCTGGACTGCGGAAGAGTGAGGAACCTGGCACGACCGAGCAACATCTAATCGAGATGCTGACGGCAGGGTAACGAAGAATATGCTCTATCCAACCTGCACACATGCTGACCTGCTCCAGCGGCTTCGACCACTCCGACCAGTGGGGCCACCGTGCTGCCGAGCCCAACAAGGCAGTCATCTGCTCCATCGCCCTCGCTCGTCTACGCACAGACATCCGCGGCGAGGCAGCGAATAGCAACGCAGTCGGCATGGCGCAGAAGCTGTTGCTCTTCTGGCGCAAGCCTGCCCGCCGATGTTGGTGGGAAGGCGTCGAGCTCGACGATGTTGAAGGCGTAGAAGGCAAGCTCAAGGTCTGGATTCGTCGTGTGTGGACGTTGGAGATGGTGAGTAATCCCAAGTACGGCGTGCTGCCACCCAAGCGTCTATGCTTACTCTAATGCAGAGCGTGATTGGGCTACGCTGAGACTCGAGAGAGCATGCTGGTTGTGGAATTGATACCCTTTGCGTTGAGTTTGCGGTGTGATTTCGGGGTCGTGCTGCATTTGAAGCGAGTGCTTGCTTTCTGGAAAAGCGAGTCGAGTACACTACGTGTAGAGCTATACCATCAGCATTTGCATGTTGGGTCGTCGGTATAATTGTAGGATGGCGGTCTGTGCGAATAGTCAGAGCGCGTATTACTTTCTGTACACATCGTACTATCGTACCTGTTCATCAACACTATTGGTGTCATTCACGGCATATCGAAGGACATCCCGAACACAATGCCGAGATGGAACAATGCCTCGGCAACATCGCGTCCCAGCATTGACTTTTGATCGAGGACTTGGTCTCTATACACAACCCTCATCGTGGTAGTCCAGTTGGCCCATGATGTCGACGGCTGTATTCAATATCACTGAGCATTCTATACCAACGTCTCACATCCGCGAGTATGCACGATCTACAGCCGACAACCAGGAGGATGTCTTGCAGCTTGCCGTGAAGCAGTACACCCCAAAGGAGAGTTTTCGAGGCAGTAATGAGATCACAGTGATAGGCGCTCATGCCAATGGTTTTCCGAAGGTTCGCATCCTGCTACATTCGAATGCACCGCGCTGACGGGTGCTCGCAGGAGCTATACGAACCCCTTTGGGACGAGCTGTACCAACGGCTGAAGGCCAAGGGCATACGCATACGCAGTATTTGGATCGCGGATGTAGCTCATCAGGGCTACTCAGGTGTCTTGAACGAGCAGAATCTGGGTAATGATCGTACGTCTGACCGATATGCTATCAACTTCGACTGCTAAAAATATTCAGCATCATGGATGGATCACCCGAGAGATCTCTTTCTCATGGTCAACCACTTCCGCAAAGAGATGAAGCGGCCACTCATTGGTATTGGCCATAGCATGGGAGGCAACAATCTTGTCAACCTTTCCATCATGCACCCACGACTGTTCACGACGCTCATCCTTATTGACCCTGTCATACAGCGCCAGCTATCCAAGCAGGGCAACTTCTCTCCTGCAAAAGCCTCAGCGAGGCGAAGAGATCGCTGGCCAAGTCGTCAGGTAGCGGAAACCTCGTTCAAGCGTTCCAAGTTCTACCAGACTTGGGATCCGAGGGTGTTGGATCTCTGGATCAAGTATGGCCTGCGAGATCTTCCCACTTACTTGTACCCGGAGGCTACCCCAGCTTCAAAGACGCTTCCAGTATTGACGGCAGACGTCAGTACCGCGACTGTGCCGCCGGATGCAAGTGAGAAGGAGATCACATTGGCTACCACCAAGCATCAGGAGGTCTTGACATTCTTGCGACCCACGCCGACCGCTGATCAGATACTACCTGTTGACGCAACACATCCCGAGCTCGACCCTGAGGCCGACCCCGAGATGCAGTTTTACAGCCCAGCACTTAGCCCGACCTTCAAGAAACTGCCTTTCGTACGGCCCAGCGTGTTCTACATCTACGGGGACAAATCTGATCTGTCAGCACCGCTACTGAAAGCAGACCGACGTGCACAAACCGGTGTCGGCATTGGCGGATCTGGAGGCGTGAAGGCGGGTAGAGTCAGTGAAGTCACTTTCGAAGGCATTGGCCATCTCATCCCAATGGAGGTCGTGGGCCAGACGGCAGATGCTGCCACTTCATGGATCGTCCCAGAAATCGAACGATGGCGAACGCTCGAAGATGCTGAGCGCAAGGAGTGGGCTGCGGTGCCCAAGGAACTCAAGAACCAGATGCCTGCTGCATATATTGAGTCGCTGAATCGCGACGGTGCAGGGTCAGCACCTAAGAAAACAGCGAAGCTCTGATGTTCAGGCCTCCAGCATATTGCTCGTCCACCAAAAGCACGCCATGTTACCATTGTTCCACATCCTGCCGTGGCGCCAGTAACCGTGGTCGTCCAAGTACTAGCAAATATGACAGTATTCTGGCATTTTCGAGACTCTGGTCAATCAATGATGAAGGGGCGAGGAGACAATGCTGAGAGTCAAGTCTTACACAGCTTTATCACGGCCCGCCCACCACGATCCGTACTCCCATGATCCCACGGATGACGATTGTTGCAAGTCCGGCCACTCTACTTGCTGCTATCGTTCTCGTATCAAGGAGAAGTCGAATGTCGACATTGACAGTGACTCCATCTTCGGCCCCATCTGTACATAATGGTAGAGCTGATTGGAAGAAGCGTCATTCGTGGATCTGGCATTCACGATGGCGGTAAAATAACTCTTGAGTGCGTGCGACATCGTCTCAAGGCCACCGAGTGCCAAAACGCTACGGCCGGTGGCTCTGGCTTGCTGTCTACTTTGAGGTCGAGAGAGTTGTCGCGCAGCCACATCAAGTCCCTTTTTGATGTATGAGATTACTCGCTGATCCCATCGCGTATAGGCTGGAGCATGGAGTAATGCCTCAATCTTTTGAATCACCTGGGAACAACATTCACCTTTGGACTCGTATGGCCGCCATTCGACCAGCTACCGCACAAGGAGGCCAAGATGAGTCGCCACTTGCTTACCTCTCCAAGCCACAATCATGCGGTGCTTACCACTCAGGGTCAGGACCAGCAAGGTCGGCATAACAGCGGCCAGCACTTCTAGCTCTACATAATAGCTGGTAAGCTTTACTCGAATATGTTATAAGGGCGCGTGGTCTAGTGGTAGGATACTGCGCGATGGATTGCTTCATTCGCTTGTGTAGTCCATCTCTCGCTTCGCACGGTGACAGTGGTTCGAATCCATTCGTGCCCAAGATCGAACTTTTTTGCTGATTTCGCGGGTATGCTGTACGCTGTAGGCTGTGGATTCTTTTGCAGTCCGAGAATCACTGCTTACGACACAGTTGCAAGGCGAACCTGAACATCAGCCTGTCTTCGTCGTCAGCAGATCTGCAAGTGGTAGCAGGGCTGATACAATGAAGATTCACCCGTTACTACAACCACCTGCGAAACACTACAAGCAATATCGTCCGCAAACCTATCCTCATTTCTGGTCAGTGTGCCAAGCGACATCCACATCAAGGGTAGGAACCGACATAGATATCTTACACACTATTGCGATCGACCAAGCCAAACGCTAATAGCAGAAGGTCGTCACAAACAGAGGCTCGGGTCGTTGTGTTGTTTTGGAGATTGGTGAGATGCCATGTTCGTACCGATCGAGTATCCTTCCGGGGAGTGTATACCTCACTGTATTACTTCTTCTCCGGCGCACCCTTCTGCGATTTGTTCTTGTGGTCGCCCTTGTCTTCATAATCACCACCAGCTGCCTCATAGCGTTTGGCCATCTCACCAGCTTTCCACGCAGACCAGCTGCCCTTTCCGCCTCCTGCACGCTATCAGCAAGCATCGACCGCGAGAGGATGAAACTACGCACCCTTCTCTTCACTCTTTACTTCCTCTTTGACCTGCTCTCGAAGTTCTGGGTCGGTTGGCTCGCCCTTTGAAGATGGCATGTTGGATCGAGGTGCTACTTTGCGTCGTGGTACAAAGGTTGCTCTTTGGTCGTCGAATGCGCGGGTGCGTTTGCTTTCAATCATGTGCTCGTCAATAAGTCCTAGAATGTTGCTTCAAAACGTCGTCATGAGACAGCCCAGAGCATGGCACATATACACAGCCTAAGGTCATGATGTCAGCGTACTTCTGCGGCACGGCATTACCTCCGTAGCAGCATTGAGAGGTCATCAGTTCCTGGCAAAGCTTCGATGGAGCTGTATATGCAGGTACCGATGAGCTACTGACAAGGGTCTAGATCTGTCGCGTGGGCTGTTAAGATATAGTTTTAATGGCCTAGATGCTCTAACCTTGTGCTGTTTGTAAACGTTCGCCTTGACGGCTTGTCTTTGGGAGGTCTTCGGAAGGACTTTAACGTCCGAATCTCCTGTTTGTTGCTGAAGGCTTTCCTCAGCTGGCCTACGCACGATATCAGAATACAGTACAAGACAGTTGCCGAAACGCCTTCGCATCAGAGCTCATCCCGTACCTTGTTCTTCTTCCCAGCCTCGCCCAACCCACGCTTAACCATACTAGTCAATACCTGAGAAAAGTCAGCGCAGGTCTCGCAATCCCTTACTTCGAGTTTTTTCATGCCTCGAAACCTATTTGTGCACCCGCAAGCGCAGTAGTCTCGCCAACCCCATCATACGCCGGCGCAACTTCCACAATATCAGCACCAACCACGTTCATACCCTCAATAGCCCTCAGCACCCGGATCAACTCCCTCGTCGTCCACCCACCAGGCTCAGGGGTACCAGTCCCAGGCGCCAAACCCGGATCAATAACATCAATATCAATACTCAAATAAACCGGCGTCTCAGTCCCAACATGCCCCATAATCCTCTCCGCCACACCCTTAACACCTAAATCATCAATATCGTCGCACGCGATCCGGACCCAACCTTGAGTGTCGTCGTCTTCGTTATCTCCGATGCCACTGAGTCGTGTCCGCAAACCGGCGTGGACAGACTTGTTGGGAAGGATGAGGGACTCATTATGAGCTACCCAGAACATTGTGCCGTGCGTGAAGAACGATTGCTCGGAAGGGTTGTTGGGATCTACCCACGCGGAAGGGTATTTAGCCGGGTGCCAGGTATCGAGGTGAGCATCGAAATGGACTACGGCCACGTTGCCGTAGATTTTGTTCAGCGCGCGGAGGGTGGGGAGGGCGATGCTGTGGTCGCCTCCTAGGGTCAGGAGTTTGGGCTTGCGGCGGTATGAGATGGTGGACTCAGCGTTTGAGGCAGGTGCGGAGCTGTGGGCAAGGTTGGTGAACGCCTCTGTCATCTGTCGCAGTGCTAGGCCATTGTCGAAGGGAGTGATTGGGATGTCGCCGCAGTCGATTATTTTGGCCCAGTCCTGATACGGATTTAGTCCTGCTCGGGGGTTATAGCCTCGGAAACTGGTCTGACGGGCTGATGCGGCTCGAATGGCTCTGGGACCGAAACGGGCGCCTGGTCGGTATGAAACGGCGGTGTCGAACGGGGCGCCCAGAATTGCAATATCATATTCGACGTCTGGGTTCTGCAGGCAGCGAGTGTGTGGGAGATGGGCAAAGGTTGATATGCCGGAAAAGCCCCACTGTGCATCAATCAGTATAGATCTTGAAGTACGAATGATGTTGATACATACATCAGTACCCCATTTGGCGTCCAGATCGTCTTTCGTCCAGCCTACAAATGGCTCTTGTGTGCCTGCGCCTTCGTGTCCAACGTGTGCTGCAGCGAGGGTGGCCAACGCCGCGGTCAGTACCAAGGAGAGCATTTCAACCACGATGATGAGCAGAAGAAGGGATGAAGTGAGAAAGAGGCAGATCGACTACCTGTACTTCACCGTCCTGGAGCTTTAGGTAATAGCCTGCCATTCCTGCAGCATTCTAGCTCTTATCGTGTCGCCTTCGGGCAACTTCAGACCGCGGTCAGCACTTGAGCTGAGCTTAGCTTTGAGCATGCCTCGCTCTCGTCAAGCACAGTCATAGCTCGTTACTTGGAGACTTGCAATGTTTGCAGGAAGATGAGAAGTCGTGGAAGAGACACGATGTAAAACGCCCCGTCGTCATCGCCAAGCTCAGATCGCGTTTCTCACCTCGACGCGACCAGAGCTCGAGTCGATACACATATATCACCCACCCAAATAGTTCTTCGCCATGCCAGAAATCGGTGAAGTCGCGCGCATCGTGCACTACATCCGCAAACACCTCGTGGGCCGCACCGTCAAAACCTGCGAAGCTTTCACCGACGACATCGTGTACGGCAAAGTAGGCTGCAGCTCCTCGGCCTTCCAATCGCATGTCGCAGGCCGGAAAGTAGTAGGAGCCGATCGGCAGGGAAAGTACTTTTACATGCTCTTTGATAAAGCTCCACATGCTGTTATGCATTTTGGGATGACGGGGTGGATGAAGTTTGACGTGGAGGACTCGGCTTATTATAAGAAGGCTGTTGTTCCTGATGATGGTGGGAAAAAGGAAGAGGATTGGCCGCCGAAGTACATGAAGTTCTTGCTCAAATGTGAGGCGGATGGCGAGAGGGAGGCTGTTGAAGCGGCGTTTGTGGACCCGAGACGCTTGGCGAGGATACGGTTGGTGGATTGCGAGGCAGATGATATACGCAATCATTCACCCTTGAAAGAGAACGGACCGGATCCCGTGCGTGACAAGGAGGTTGTGACGGTGGAGTGGTTGTCGCAGCTGCTGAAACGGAAGAAAGTGCCGGTGAAAGCTTTGCTACTCGACCAGGCTAATATTTCTGGAGTGGGCAATTGGGTGGCTGATGAGATCATGTATCAGGCTAGACTTCACCCGGAGCAGTATAGCTATACTTTCAGTGATGAGCAGATTGAATCATTGCATAAGGCGTTGATGGATGTATGCACGTTGGCCGTGGAGACGAATGCGGATAGTAGTCAGTTTCCTGAGACGTGGTTGATGAAGCATAGGTGGAATAAAGGGAAGAAGGGAGCTGAGGCGAATGTGTTGCCTAATGGGGAGAAGATTGTTCATGTGACGGTGGGTGGGAGGACGAGTGCGATTGTGCCTAGTGTGCAGAAGAAGACGGCGGCGGCTGCTGGTGATGTGGGTGGTGATGATGGGGATGGCAAGCCAGCTAAAAGAGGTAAGCGGAAGGCGAAGGTTGTTGAGAAGGAGGAGGATGAGGAGGATGTCGAGAAGCCGACGCCTAGAAGGCAGAGGGCAGCGAAAAAGGCTAAAGTGGAGCTTGATTCGGGCGAGGAGGACGATGAGGAGTTTAAGAAGCCGACTCCCAGGAAGGCCAAGGGAGCGAAGAAGGCTAAGGTCGAGCCGGAGTCTAGCGAGGAGGAGGTTACGGTTCCAACGACGAAGAGTTCGAGGAAGAGGAAATTGACGGAGGTGAAGGCTGCGGACGTGCAGGCTGATGGCGGCGCTGAGGATGAGGTTGAGAAGCCTGCTAAGACAGCAAAAGGTAGAAAGGCAGAAGCGAAGAAAGCTGCGTCGAAGGAGACCGAGACGCCGGCCACATCTGGGTCTCGGAAGTCTGCTCGATCGAAGACGTGAAGGAGGGTCGAACTTTCTGGGTGAGGAAGTTGTAGAATAATGGTGGAGGGAGAATCTGTAGGATAATGATACCCACGCAAGCATATGTAGAGAGAGTAGGGAATTATGTATTTTGCCCTCAGCGTCGTTTTGCAAGCATCTCCTGATCTTTTATTCCGCTGTATGCCATCGCTGTCGGCTGCCTCGTGCTGTATGAACATCTCAATGCCTGACGTCGGGTCTTGGCGAGGCGCTAATCCAGCATCCGAGATTCTGTCGTTCTGAGCTCTGATGAGCACATGCAAGCATACAACAACCACACGACATTCACTGAACGGGACCGGTCACTTTCCTTTTACGCGTGCTCCATCGCAATGACTGTGTAGAGCCTGCCATCTTCCGAACCGACAATCACACTCCACCCAGCGACACACACCTCCTCCATTATGGCCGCCAACCAGCAGCTCCCATCCAAGGAGCAGACGCTCTTCCGCCATGTCGTCCAGAACTACGAGAGCAAGCAGTACAAAAAGGGTCTCAAGGCCGCCGAGCAGATCCTCCGAAAACACCCCAACCATGGCGACACCCAAGCCATGAAAGCCCTCATTCTGTCCTCCCAAGGCAAGAGCGAGGAGGCATTCGAGCTATGCAGAATCGCGCTCAAAAACGCCATGAAGTCGCAAGTCTGCTGGCACGTCTACGGCTTGCTCTACCGAGGCCAGCGCAACTACGAGGAAGCGCTCAAAGCA